CCTTATATGGTGTTGCCATTGCTGCTTTCAGCTGGAAGCATTGAGCTGAAACCAAGCCCAAGAGCAAACTAAACCCTGTTTTATACAGTTTATGGTCAAACCACATACAAACCAAGAGCATGCACGTGCTGCACAAGATGTTAAAATATCAAAAACAATCCTTACATGAAAGAGTAATAGATTATTATCGGAAATAAAAAAATGTAAGTTTAGCTCCTATTTTTTAACTGGTGAAAAGTGTGATAGAGTTTCACTGACAAGTCTTAAGATACAGTAGTCCAGACTAAACTGTAAGTTTGAGGTGTTTTAAATGATAGCAACTTGCACTGACTTCTCTAAAATATGTCAATGATTGTTTTGTCTCAAGATGCACATCAGTGACGTTTTTTCTAAGGAATGTTTATAAAAGCTACTTAAATGTCCTAATTAAACTAAAATCTAGTCCTGCTTAGTCTGTAAAGCCCAGTGAATTCAGGCCAAAGTCTGTTCATCCAATAATAAATCATAAATCTGGTCTGTTTTTATTGGTTATGACTGTCATTATCTATTTAGAGTGTGCCCCTGACCTTGATGCAGTCACGCATTGCATTTCTTTTATTATTATTCACTATTTAAAGAAACATGAAAGTGCCAAACGGTTAATAGCAAGTGAACTACTGAGCCATATTTATTTGATTAGCAATAGAACAATTTGACATCAAGTCACATCACTGATCAATGTTCTGTAATATCAGATTCAAATTGGATTAAACTGAAGAGATTTTAGTGCAATATATACAAGTACATTAAATGAAAAACTTTTGATTTAAGTGAAATATGATATTTTTTGAAACATGATAAAACATTAAATGAAAAAAAAACATTAAAAAATTAAAGTAATAATTAAAAAATACAGGTTTTGGTTTAAAGAAATAGATCACTTGTAGATCACTTGTAGTCCGTTACTGATTCCAGATTACATGACAAAAAAATTAGTTAGCAACATAATCTATTACATTACACATTTTAGGTTGTATACCAATTTTGATTTCTTTTGGCCTAACTCATTTATCACAATGACTTGAATAGGATTATCTTGTACCATACTGATATAAAAAAAAGAAAGAGAAAGAAATGATCTTTATCTTTACCTTACTGTTCATCTAGTGATCAAATGCTTTGTGCGCTGTCAATTTTCCCTGTAATTAAAGCCACCTGTCTAGTGTCTGGTTTGTGTGTGCAATTTCACAAAACTAGAAGATTTTCTGAATATATAAATAATATGCTTTTTTAGAAAGGACATTTTTAAACTTGAAAACTAATCAATAAATTATTAATTAATGTCATTGTATGAATAATGAGTACTTATGTAATCAATAAAAAATAATTGTAGTCTGTATTGAGTATTTTAAAACATAATACAATCTAATTACAAGTAGTTATTTTGTAGAATATGATTACGTAATCCAGATTACATCATCATGGTCATCATGTACTGTTGAGGGTGAAGCGATAAAGCCAGATTTCAGTCACAGACCTCTGGTGGTAAGAAATAAAAGTACATTTTTAACTCTACACAATAGCTTATAGAAGCTCTAAATCTAATGTGAACATGCATCCAAAACAGAAAAGTGTATTATATAACAAACATTTATATCATAGCCTAGGTTTCTGCATGAATGCTAAAATATGCTCCATTATTCCCTTAATTATGAAGATCAGTGCAAAGGTGCACTAATAAATCATCAAACAAGACAATAAAACATCTAGTTAAACATGTTTAGGTTAACTGTTGCAAAAGTTAGCCAACTGTGTGCCGCATCATTATTTTTGTAATTCCATATGTATTATCTGCATGGTGTGCTTATCTCCACTCTAACCACAATCCTGCAAACCCCTACCCATACTGGCCTTAAGGTATACTCTCAGCCTCATGTAAACTTAATTTAGGGTCTTGGGGTCTCAGAAGATAAAACAAGACTTACACATTTCACACACATTTACTCTTTTAAACAGCCTGTCCTGGTCTACACTCAGCGACCACCCTGGCTCCATGTGGAAAGCTAAACACACACACAGCATTATTCTCTGTGATGAGGGCTCACACTAACACTTCTATCGAAGATGTTCACTTCAAGCTTATCCTCGTGGGCTTTAGAGGGGGATTGACAGCGCCACCACATGGCCCCACCATAGTAGCTACCCACAAGCACCATCACCATGATTTGGAAGTCGAAGATTATGATCATAAATATACAACAAGGATGCGTATATTGAATCTCTTTTGGGTAGAGCACCGTCTCATAAACATGCAGAGCTGGACTTTGGCCACCACAGAAGCTCTTTAAGTGAAAAGGTAAAGCAAAAGTCTTCAGCTGAGGAAATATCATCAGATATGACTAATCCCCACCAGAGGAAATGGTGCTGATCATCTTTGACGCAAGAATGCTCGTCCATTTCCGGTTGTGGAGATTAAAGCGGAAGAAAACCGAGGAAAACGGGATTATGGCAGAGTCTTCAAAATGTACTGTCCTCCAGTCTTTGAAATGAAACGTACATACGTTTAGATGTAATTTTATATATAGTTATTTTTATTTAATATAATTTTAAAAAGAAGCATAAACACAACGAGGGGTGTCTGTTTTATCTGTTTTGTGACTAACGTTTCTTTAGTATAACCATGGAGTATAAAATTCAATATAAATTCTCGGTATGGGCTCTATCTATGCAGGGCGGTATTTCCGGTGAAGGATTAAGGATGCTCGATAACTTCCGCCGATCGTAGAGTCCAATGCAATACCGATAATTTATATTGAATTTTATACTCCATGGTTATAATAAAGAAACGTTAGTCACAAAAACAGATAAAACAGACACCCCTCGTTGTGTTTATGCTTCTTTTTAAAATTATATTATATAAACATAACTATATATAAAATTACATCTAAACGTACATTTCATTTCAAAGACGGGAGGACAGTACATTTTGAAGACTCTGCCATAATCCCGTTTTTTTCTCAGTGTTCCTCCGCTTTAATCTCCACAACCGGAAATGGACGAGCATCCTTGCGTCAAATGCGGAACTTGTGCGTGCATATAGCCCATTGCATTGGACTCTACGATCGGCCGAAGTTATCGAGCATCCCTAATGCTTCACCGGAAATACCGCCGTGCATAGAGCCCATTGAGAAAAATACCATTAAGACCTTGTGACATATGTTGCCTCGCGCTCGTAGGACAGCATTTGGTGGTTACTGAGGTTTGTTTAAAAAGTCGCTAAATTTGTCGCTGTCGCTTTTTGAAAAAAAGGTTGCTAAAGGGGTCTGAAAAGTCGCTAAAAATAGCGACAAAGGCGCTATATGGCAATACAGAAAAGTTCTCAAACTTTTCAACAAGTATAGCCTACCACCTCAGAAATACATACGGCTCTCCAAGTAGCTAGCCTGGCTACCATCTAATGACCCTGAATTTCACCAGGAGCCAGTGGACGCTAAAACTGGAGAAAAGTCTTGAAGAAAAAAATGTACTCTGTTTTTCTGAATTAATGATTTAATTATCTCAGAATTACAATATCATTTTCATGGAAATCTTATTTGCTCGTTTTTCTGAATTAACAAGTATCTCAGAATTACAAGATCATTTTTCATGGAAAAAAAGTTTTTGCTCTGTTTTTCTGAATTAACGAGATAATTATCTCAGAATTACAAGATAATTTTTCATGGAAAAATGTTTTGCTCTATTTTTATTAATTAAAGGGTTATTTCTAGCCTGGCTGCGCCCTCCTACGCACTTCCGCTCAATTTCATTTTATGAAATGAACTAGAGTCTGGTTGAACCAGGCTAGGTTATTTCACCCAAAAATGAAAATTAAGTCATTAATTACTCACCCCCATGCTGTACCAACCCCGTAAGACCTTCGTTCATCTTCGGAACACAAATAAAGATATTTTTGATTGAATCTGAGAGCTAGATCAGTCCTACATAGGCTGCCTAAGGGACTGGCTCTTGACGGCCCATAAAGTCATTAAAGAAAAGGTTTAAATATTCCATGTGCCTACAGCGGCTCAATTATAAGTTTATCAAGCGACGAGACTACTTTTTGTGCGAAGAAAACATAGATAACGACTTTATTCCACTATTCCATTACTTCCTTGTGGGCGCATGCGCGAGAACTGAGATGAGGACGTTCTCATTCGTCTACTTCTTGTTACCGGCTGCTCACCGCTTAGGAGTTTTACCGCCCCCTACCGTATAAGATGATGTGCTGATATAGCTGGAAACGCAAAACTTTCTGTTTACAAGCAGAGGAAGATGCGCGCTGTACATACGCTTTTCAATTTGCGTATTTTCCGCACTATAAGGTGCACTTAAAAGCCTTTAATCTTCTCAAAAAACGACAGTGTTCCTTATAATCCGGAGCGCCTTATATATGGATCATCATTTTATACGGTAGGTGGCGGTAAAACTCCTAAGCGGTGAGCAGCCGGTAACAAGAAGTAGACGAATGAGAACGTCCTTGTCTCAGTTCTCGCGCATGCGCCCATAAGGAAGTAATGGAATAGTGGAATAAAGTCGTTATTTTTGTTTTTTTCGCACAAAAAGTAGTCTCGTCGCTTGATAAACTTATAATTGAGCCGCTGTAGGCATGGAATATTTAAACCTTTTCTTTAATGACTTTATGGGCCGTCAAGAGCCAGTAACTAACCCTTTAACGTGTTGTCTCAGAATTACGAGACATTTTTTCATGGGAACAAGTTTTTGAGATAATCAAGTCATTAATTCAGAAAAACAGAGCAAAACATTTCCATGAAAAATGATCTTGAAATTCTGAGATAATTAACTCGTTAATTCAGAAAAATAGAGCAAAAACTTTTTTCCATGATCTGCTTATTGTAAAGTTAAGATGAGTTAAAAATCACTCCAAGATTCACCATATGAATTTTTGAGAAAAGAATTGTGAGAAAAGTTTCCTGCAGTTATAAAATATTTCAGTCCTTTAAAAAATGCCACAAAAATATTTGTTAGTTAAAACCTTTTAATTGCAGAGCAATGAACAATAAGACATTACAGTAAAGCAACATACATACAGAACAGGGTTTACAAACTTTTCTTACAATTGTGCACTTTAAGAATTTTAATCAAACAAACATGAGTGACATTACTGTTTAATGCAGTGAGTTTAGCTTTAAACACCAGCTTAGACCATACTGGCCTTAAGATTAGCTAATACATGCTCAGCCTCATTTAAACTCAGTGGAGTCTCCGGAGCTCTCAGAAGAAAAGGTTGAGACATTTCACATGCATTCACACTTTTTAACAGCTTGTTCTGGTCCACTTTCAACACCCATCCTGGCTCCATGTGGAAAGCTACACACACATGATCCCACACATAGTATTCTTCTCTGTGAGGGCTCACATGAACACTACAATTCAACTGGTTTACCTCAAGCTTCAGCTTGTAGGTTTCAGAGGGAGCTTGACAGCGCCACCACAAGGCACCATCATGGTATCCACATACACCATCCTCCTGACCAGGCAGTCGGGGATAATGCTCATCATACATATGTATGTCACGAGGGTGCACTAGGATCTTATAGAGAATCTCTCGCCGGTAGACCACAGTCTCAAAAACACGCAGAACTGGACTTTGGCCATCACAGAATTGGTTCACATAGTGCCAGAGAAGCTGCTTAAATGAAAAGGTGAAGCGGAAATTTCCATAGGAAGATTTTTTCTGGAAGGCATTTGAGGTGGTGAAGTGCTCAAGGACAGGCGACTGGCCGCGAAGTTGGGCAGCACTTCGATGAGGGAACAAGGACGTGAGGAAACGCTCTTCAGCTGAGGATATGTCATCAGATGTGACTGATAAATCCCACCAGAGGAAATGGTGCTGACCACTAGCCACCATCTCCAATGGCTGTCTGAAGCCTGAATTGTGAAAAATACCATTAAGACCTTGTACTCCAGTGACATGAGACACTTTCTGGACATGGAACTCCACAGATTCAGGATAAGCAGGAATGTTGTTTTTATACAGATACCCGTTCTGTACTATACGCTGTTCTTTTAAGTCTGACAGACTCAAATGTTCTCCCTTAAAGTATGTCTCTGTAACATCACGGTTATTTCTGCGCTTCATTTTCTTTCTGAAACAGGGAAACAGATAGTGTAAGGTTAGCATAATCTGTTTAACAAGGTCACTCAGTGACACTGAGTCAGTGTTTTCCTCTTGCCATCTGACTAGTTTGGCTTTTCCAGCAAAAACAAAATATGTAATCCATTGTCAAAAACTTAGATTTGGTTTAGGCAGGTCTGTTTTCCTTGTTTAACAGATCTGCTTTTAAAGATCATTTATTTAGCCTACTACTACATTCGATTCAAAACGATGTAACAATACATTTGTCATAGTGCAATGGTTTTCTACTGCACTATTTCCCTGATTTATATTTCAGGAATGAAAGATTTAAAATTAACCTCTGCGCGCCACCAACTTCCTCACGACAAAGACAAAGAGTTCATATTAAAGTCGTTTAAAAAAGCAAATGCAATTATTAACAGTTGCACAACTGTCTGCATCTCTCATTGTCAACAATAAGTGAATGATTTTTCAAATGATACACTAAATCTACCTTTGAGGGATTTTCATGACTAGCGAACATTTTGAGCTATCGATTTGACCGCATTTGGTAAGATTAAAAATAACGGCCAAATTGTGATAGCATATAGTGAGAAAACGCTCGTTTTTTTTTTAGTTTAAAGCCGTGCATGAATCTAAAATTACAATAAACATGCGCTACATTAAATATTTTTTACGCAAAAAAACAATATATTACCTACCAGAGGACTGTGTTTTCAGACCGCACTTCTCCACTTCTGCTACGAGAGAAACACTGAAAGAATGGGTGTTTTCCGGTGTTTGCGCGAGTCTCCTCCTTTAGAAACAAACACTCTAGCTATTTTTGTGGGTAGGCTACTCGGCTACTGTATAGTAGACTATCTTCTATCCCCTTACACTAACCCTACCTGCCCCTAAACCACCCATCACAGAAAACTTTCTGAATTTTTACGTTTTCTAAAAATCATCACTTAAGTTATAAGCTATATTAATGAGGACCCATGCACAGCATGTCAGGGCAATATATATTAAAACATAAAGGTGAGATTACCTTTATTTGAGCTGAATAAGAAATAACTTAAATGTGATGCAAGTAAGCAAAAAACAGTTGATAAAGGTATTTAAATTAATGTAAGTAGCAAAATCTGTTTTGTCACTGCTTACACAGTTACAAAGATACAGGATATCTTGCATCTGCATAATACATCAAGTGATACCAAACAATGGCAGAACTCCAAGTGCAGGAGAATAACTAGATGTTCAAACAACAATGACAAAGATTAAGTTGAAAATGAATGTCCTTACAGAATCAGCGTGTACAAGGAAAGGTCGAAAGGTAATATTAGAGACTCAAACCATCAAATATTAGAGACTCACACTCAAACCATATCTGGTAAGAGTATCCATGTTTGCATTATTTTAATTAAAGTAAATTAGTAAATTTAATTAAAGTATTAAATTTAATTAAAGTAAAGTAAAAAACTACTTCTATGTATGCGAGTCGTTAATAATTCTAATGCAATGATATCCGGAAGTAGTACAGTACACACTCATGTCTGCACATGTGGGGAATTCCAACAGTTAATTAAAAAAATGGGGGGAGGGGGGGGGGTGTACTTTCACTTGAATAGAAAGTGAAAGACTGAAACATTATTGAAAGATTATTTAATATGAAAGTATGAAAATATGACCAAGGTTTGTCCAAAACGAAAAGAGTGAAGGACATTCACAGAAAAAAAGTGTTGTTGTTTTTTATTTTTTATTGTTTTTATTAAGCATGTGGAAATGAGTGAGACTGTATTTCAATAATGCAGGATAATAGAAGCATGCATAATATAAGCTAATCACCATAATGTAATTAAAAGAAGAATAAAAGTACGTAAATCAAAAAGTAAATCATACACGTACACGTAAATATAGCAAATGTTCAAGGTTAGACAAACCTTTAAGTCAAATCAAAGTGCAGTGTGTTCTGGCTTCTTTATGCAGTGGAAACATCTCAATGTCAACTATATAGGCCTGTGTTTTGTAAGCTGGGTGATCTAAGCAGAGAGGAATTTACAGGGAGGAAAGCAAAACTGATATAGAACCATCATTTCTGCCTCTTCCTTCCTATCAAAAAGCAACCATTAATGTACATAAAAAGAGGCCACATTCCATTTCCTTAGCATCAGCGCTTTATTAAAACAGCATGGACAGATACATAGTAACATGTACTAAGAATAGTAAAACAGCAGGTAAAAAATACATATTTCCTCCACCACATTCCTTTCATACTTATTGATGATTACAAAAACCTTCTGCTCATATTAGACTTTTAATACTTATGAGCTAACTCCAGGTAATGGATCATTTTTCATATTTACTCTAAGGCCTGATGGGGTCAAACTCACACTTCACAAACTCTTCTGAGTTAAGTTTTGGTTCAGCACCCTCACAGAGTCGGAGGCTCTTACACAGAATCGCCTTGCTGAACCTGAAGATTTGTCCATCTGGGACATGGAATGCCACTCCAATGTTATCCCACATGTAATTTTTTCTGGCTTTTGTACGTATCCGAATAGCTTGCTTGTTAGGAGACAGATAGAAACGGTGTGTTTTACTCATTGCCTGTGGACGCCATATAATGGTGTCTTTACGGAACACACACACTGCATCTCGGTGTTTCGGAAGCAGGGGATACTCAGAGAACAGGTCTTGTACATGAGGTGCATGAATCACAATAGAATACATCACTTCCTGCTTATAGACCACAGTCTCAAAAATGCGAATGTTGGGCTCCTGGCCTTCACAGAATTGTTGTTTGTAGCTTTTTAACAACTCATCGATTGACATGCTGAAACGGAAGTTCCCCATGCGAGAGGATGCCAGGAAGGCTGGGGAAGAGGTAAACTTATGCAGGAAAGGTTTCACTTCATTGTAAAATCCTTGCCTATTCAAGTATTGCTCCTCAGCGATGGTAATATCACGTCTTGAAATGTCTGGGCTCCACCATACCAGATCGCGTTTTGGCGAGTCGCTTTGTGACGGCTTTTTAAACCCTTCAGAATCCCAGATGCCATGGTATCCTTGGAGGCTAGTGTTATGCCGAAGGTATGACACTTTAATCTCCACCTCCTCAGGTTGTGGTGGAATCAAATTATAGAGGTAATCATTCAGTGTAAGGTTATCATTCTGTTTAAGCTCTTCAAGCTTCAGGTGCTCCCCCTTAAAGTATACTTCAGTACATCTTCTCTCATTTGTGCGAATCATTCTTTCAAGTTGAGAAAAGCTGTTAATAAGATGAAAATCACTTCTGAAATTGGACTGTGATGGCTTGCACTGCATGAATAGAAATGTTACATATATTATTGTGTTAGCATTCTCCAAATTTATAGATATTTTCAACAAATGTATGAAAAAAGACTACTCTTTTATATCAACCAAATTAAAAAAAGTCAAAACAGAGCAAAACTCAGATCAGAAGATATTGCTATTGTCCTATTTTGACAAACGTGTTTGCCCTATGCCTGATAGCCAAGTTACAAGTGTAATACATTTTGACAATTTAACAAAGTAACATTCAGTGATAATATTTAGATAAATTGATCTCAGCCCAAACTTAACTTGAGCTTTAGACAAAAATAAAGAGTAATGTTGAGTAAAACGGTTGGTACTATCTGGTTTATGTGGAAACCGAAACTGTGGGCATGCCTAAGACTAGAAACATGTCCAAAGAAAGAAAAAAATGCTTTTCACTGAAGCATTCTGAGAACATTTTAGCTGCTATCGACCACTTCAATCTGTTCTTGTACATTTTAGAACAGCCTATTTTAAGTCCATTTTCATTACAAAAGTTTTTTTTTAATTTAATAAACCTTTGTTTTTACTAAACTTTGAACTTTTCTAGTAGCCTAATCATTTTTGAAATCCTGTAATACTTCTACATTACATAAGCATGTAAAGCTTTAAATGACAAATCAACATTGTACAATTTTACATTGTACAATTTTTTGTGTTTTTGACATATCGCATAGATTTTGAATATTTTATTGCAATTAATAGACATACTATTCTTAAATTAAGTTCACATTTCTCTTGTGTAATAAAAAATAGAACTTTGAAAAAAATTGTAAATAGTTATTTTTAAAAATACAAACAGCTCTTCACTCACCAACTTGCTGTTATCCTTTCACGTTTTTTTTACATTTACAAGAGAGACAGGGAGAGAGAGAGAGAGAGAGAGAGAGAGAGAGAGAGAGAGATAACTAGCAGATGTAACTTCAAAATAAAAGTCATTCGAACGATAAATATGAATTAGTCGATTGTCATACTTAGCAAACATATTTTATTCAAAGCAACTAAAATAATTAATTGAATTTAATTTAACGAAGAGTAATGTTGGATAATTCTACTGCCCTATACATGTATACATGCCCTATACATCACAAATAAAAGTGTACAGGTTGGAGAATGTGGGGAGACATGAGAAAAGAACAGGTGTTGGAAAAACACCTAGAGTTTTTGTATAGAAAAAAGGTCAAAGATCATGTGAAGGCACAGCCGCAGAAGTACTTGAGGAAACATGTATGTAAGCATTTTAAAAAACACGTGTGTTAATGGTTGGCCACAGTTAGAAATGAGTCAGCAATAATACTGACCACTGTAAGGTTCAGATGCCTGGCCTACATCTCACTTTGTTGAACTGCTCAATAAAGTTATTCTTCTGAGACCTGAAACCTCGACTCTGAAAGATTTTCTCTGAGAGCTGAATCAGACTTTGAAGACTTGAACAAAAGATCGAGAATTTGCCATGACAGTTATTGCCTAAATCACTTCTATTTGTATATTCATTTTCATTGATTTGTAGACACTTTTCTCACTTCTTCTCCCTATACCAATGTTTAGTGGTTGCATAAATCAAAGCTAGTCAGGGATTTCCGTAGCTTAGCTTAGGCTATACTTTAATAGTGGTAGCCTAGATGGTTGACCTTGTCAAACGTATATTATGGTTTATATATCTGTTTAATGAATGTGAAGGACATATTAATTGATTACATTTTGTATACCCTAATATAGACTATGAACCAAATAGTGTGTGTATATATATATATATATATATATATATACTGTATACTGTGTATACTCAAAACTTAAGACTAAACTTTTGGCTTGCAGTTGTTCGACTTAAGTTTCTTCATTTCAACATTGTAGACAATTGAAATGTGTCTAACTATATGTCTAACTATTGAAAAAAGCTGACTATCATTTATTCATTATTGATTATAAATTTTGTTACATTTTTATTCTTCATTTAACAAAATAAAATGATTTCCATCAAACTGCTTTGCCTGCCTGGATCTCACTAAATATATTTTTTTAAACAACAAAAGTCACATGTCATTCTAAGCAATTCACTGAAAACAATTCATTTGTTTCGGAATAATAATACAACGTTGAAAGGTTGGTCAAAATCCCTTGTCTCTTATATATCCGAATTGTAAGAGAGTCTGCCCGGATCCAACTTCCACTCCAATATATATATACATATGTAAATTGTCCTTCACTAAAAAAGCTTATTTATCATAGAGACAATTCATTCCAATCTCAGTAACATGCACAGAGTCATGGTTATCACCAACAGCAGGCAATCAAGAACCATCTTGATTACAGGGACTTGAAATAAATGTTATCACCATAACATCTGACCATCCTACCTTTGATTGTGTTTTACACTTTGGAGTTGTGATGATAATGATGTCACCTGTTAAGTATGAGAGTTCTGCCAGTCCTGTTCTCTCTAATGAAAGCTAATGAAATCAGTTGGGCATATTGGATTATCATCAAGATGTGAATGAGACTGTTATGCTGTCGTGTCATGCTGAGGGGGAAGACGAATGGAATACAATATAAAATGTTTGAGCTGAGATTTTTTTGGGGTTCATTCTGATGCCGATACCCAAGATTCTTCTTGTCCCTTGCCACTGCTCTGCTGTAATAAACTTCATTTGTGAGATCTTCGATGTCCAATTCATTTTTTCTTACAATATTCATATATCTTGTCTCTTTCTGGTCACAGAGGAATCCTAAAAGTGCAGGTGTGGACATATATGGTCCTTCGCTGGACAGTCGTCATAAATTTGCCCACAGAGCAATTTGCCCATTATCTGTCTTTGTTTCCCCCTTTTCTTTTTCATCATGTTTTAGTTGAGGAGATTCCCCCCTCTATGTGAAACGCTTTGAGAGTCCAGAAAGGCGCCATATAAATGTAATGAATTATTATTATTTATTATTTGACTTGATAAATAATAATGAGCTCTCTTCAGCCTTGAGATGAGCTGTTATTTGGGGTTGTTCTGTGTGTATGTGTGTGCATTTTCCACTTCATGTAGATTTTGGACGTTGGGATGAACAACACACAGACGCCAAGGCGCCCTTTTCTAACCAACAAGGTCACCACAGACCAAAATCCAGGATCGGACGACGACTATCTTGACATATATCTTTACTAATGGTGATAGGCACCCATATCTGCTCATTTGTGTGAAATTGTTTATGTTTTTATGTTCTCTTAGCCAATCAGGAGTAACAATGATGTAATGCATGCCCTTGCAAAATGGTATAATTGATGTAAGATTTTGTATAAGGTAGAGTTGGCTTGCGACCTTAAAGGGTTAGTTCACCCAAAAATGAAAATTAAGTCATTAATTACTCACCCCCATGCTGTACCAACCCCGTAAGACCTTCGTTCGTCTTCGGAACACAAATGAAGATATTTTTGATTAAATTTGAGAGCTGTATAACTACCACATTGGCTCCTAAGGGACTGCCTCTTGACGGCCCAAAAAGTCAATGAAGAAAATGTTTAAATATCCCAAGTGACTACCGTGGCTCAACTATATGTTTACCAAGCGACGCGAATACTTTTTGTGCGAAAAAACAAACAAAAATAACGAGTTTATTCGACTATTTGTTTCTTCCTTGTAGGCCAGAACGAGACTTCCTTATAGATTTCCACGACGCATGCGCGAGAATTGCGATCTGAAGTAGTGTAAGCTGTGTACGCAGATCGCAAATCTCGCGCATGCGTCGTGGAAATCTATAAGGAAGTCTCGTTCTGGCCCACAAGGAAGAAAAAAATAGTCGAATAAACTCGTTATTTTTGTTTGTTTTTTCGCACAAAAAGTATTCGCGTCGCTTGGTAAACATATAGTTGAGCCACGGTAGTCACTTGGGATATTTAAACATTTTCTTCATTGACTTTTTGGGCCGTCAAGAGGCAGTCCCTTAGGAGCCAATGTGGTAGTTATACAGCTCTCAAATTTAATCAAAAATATCTTCATTTGTGTTCCGAAGACGAACGAAGGTCTTACGGGGTTGGTACAGCATGGGGGTGAGTAATTAATGACTTAATTTTCATTTTTGGGTGAACTAACCCTTTAAGAGACTTTGACGCTCTCTCTACCGATGAAACTGCAAACTATTCTTCAGTAAATTTTTATCTAGTTGATTGAACCTCACGACTCCTGGTCTTCTTTCATCATATCTGGTCTGGTAATGAGGACCGACGTAGAACAGATCTGGCTCCATAGCTCAGTGGTTAGAGCACTGGTCTTGTAAACCAGGGGTCGTGAGTTCGATCCTCGCTGGGGCCTAGAAGACATCTGAGGACACTTTTGAGTTGGTATCAGAGTAAGTTTACAGACCTATGAATTGGGGTCAATAAAAGACAACCAAGCAGGGGCCTGTTCTCCATACATGGATTGCTTAGTTATCGGTTAGGTTCTTCAAATCTCATCCTAGAGTTCCTATCTGTAAACTCAAACCTGCTCTGGATTAGAAATAAAATGAAGGTCTGGTGAGAACCATCACCAATAATAATCTGTTCCTCATCCATCCTGAGAAGTCAAATGTAGCCATTTGCTAAAGCTGCAGGGAAATGTCTTGACTCATCAAACAAACCTGACATAATTGGTTGCAACCTGTAAAATAAATCACTAGTTAGTAGTGGCCATGTCCTAGAAAATCTAGTTATATTTTATCAGGTGTCCTAGACATCTAGATTGCCCATTTCTTCTCAACCTATTTTGTTTATGTGGCCCTTCCCCAATCTGGTCAGATGGCATTATGATGTAAAACAATATATGAAGCTACACAACTGTTTTCAATATTGATGATAATAGGAAATGTTTTGTTGAGCAACAAAGCAGCGTATTGGAAAGATTTCTGAAGGATGATGTGACTCTTAAGGCTGGTTGAGATGCTGAAAATTCAGCTATGCCATTAAAGGAATATATTTCATTTGAAAATATATTGAAATAGAAAACAGTTATTTTAAACGATAGTGTTTCACAATGGTAATGTTTTTGCTGATTAAGTAAATTTAGCCTTGGTGAGCTAAATTTATTTCTAAAAGGGGGTTTCACAGTGATGTCTAGACACATTTTGGGGTCCCTAAAGAACATTTTAGTTCTACATTTTTTTCTGAGTGAAAAGAATATTTTAATAATATAATTTACCCTTTTTCAACTATACAGAACATTTTGACATTGAAGGTTCTTCACAGGACCATAGATGCCAATAAATTACTTTATTTTTAAGAGTGTATGAATTTTCTCCATCACCATGGCTGGGTGATTATAAAAAGAAACGAAAATTTCATGGCAAATCGATTTAAATTTAAAGTCAGCTTGACATCAACATCGACCCTATTGTTACTAGTAAACATTTATTTTGACTGTGTAATCTTTTCTGAGTGTGTGTGTGGCCTGAATGATAAATGAAAGGTATATTTAAGCAATAAAAAGAAAGAATTTGCTAACATTGACTCAGAAAAGAAGATAGTGCTGTGGATCCATGTCTTAAAGATTATACAATATTTTCAGTTATCTTTGATCAGATTACTGTGACTTCCTCAGACGCAATCAGCTCAATCTGCATGCGTCTGTAAAGGTGTCAACCAAATGATCCATCCAATTAGAATAACAGTGACTGTGTGTGTTTCACAGCTATTTTGAACGTCTTTTCCCCCTATTGTGATGTATCTGAGATAAATGGCTTCACGAACAAGTCACAATTCAGGGTGGGACTTTTTGTCCATAGAGAATTGAATAAATTGTTGTCGTTGTTATAGCTGTGATCTCATGTGAGTGACTTGTACATGCATTTTAAATGTGTCTGCTGTCTCCCCTATTAATTCATCTCACTCTACATCACTTTCACAGGAGCACTTAGTGCACCACACAAATATGATTTATAAATTAAAGCCATGAAGAGAATGGAAAAGATAAGAATGATAATGCTGATTTTGAACATAATCCGTGTGGTTTGTGATAGTCAATTGTTATGTTGCACTTAAACACACAAAACACACTGGTGTTGCCAGTCTTTGGTTCACATTCAACCACATGAGCATCTACACTACAAAAGCAATCTGGTTAAATGAGTTTTCGTCTACCACTGAAAGTGGTCAAAAGTGGAGAAGCTCAGAACTTTTAAGACCCATTTACACCTGTATTTAGCATTGTCCACCAGCAACAAAAAAAGTCTCTTAATACCAGGTGTAAATAGGGCCCAAGATTTCTGAGAATGCAAGAAGTCTTCTGAAATGCATGAGGGATAACTATAAAGATAGCTAACGATAATGATATTTGAGCTCACACCAGTGTAAGTGTCTTGACCTATCAAACAAAACAAACACAATACTGGCTGCAACTAAGCAAAGAAACTATACTAGTGAATTACTTGGGACACTAGACCTACCATATAGTACTGGGTAAATAGTCTAATGTAAATAACACAAACTCATTCAAAAGATCGACACACCCATTACAGATAGGAAATAAACAGGTGAGGCTCAGTGGTTAGAACACTGGTCACAAATTCAATCCTCGTTACGGCCAGAGCAATCAAGAACCCTTTGAGCCCGTATCAAAATGAGTTTTCAGACATAAAATAGCTGTCAATCTAATTAATAGAACAAAATCAATCAAACAGATCTGATAAACGTTCAACACTGGGAAAGACTCCAAGGTGAAGAACTTCAGACCAAATGTGAGTGCAAACAAACTTAATTACTGCAAGCTGCAGACAAACCGTGATATGACCAACTTTCTTATCTGAAATTTCAATAACTTTATACAACGTAAGCTCAAAGGGAATTATTAATTGTATTGATATCATTGTTTTTGGAATAATCTGATATGTTAAGTCAGTCTCTGTGCTTTTCAGAGTGGTTTCAGGCCTGTGTTCCAGGATAAGGTTAAAAGATGGTCACAAAAGGGAGTCTGTTTAAGCTCTCTGTTTTGAGCGGGAATCACCCTCCTTTATCTTAACTCTAGATTTATGCTTGTGATAGTTGGGATGCACCAAATTCAGACCCATTTATCTTGGGTCACCTAAAGGTTACAATGTTAGAGTGGGCTTTTTCTCAGTTGATGCAAGTATCCTTGAAGGAATCCAGAGTTAGGTCAAACATGTTGGTGCCACAATGACAGATCTCTTATTTTATGGGTCTTAAATTTGGGCCTCTTGTAACCTTCGGGTCATTGTGCTGTTTTGGTACAGTTCAGATCACGTCATCACTGCCATGTCATTGTAAATATATTTGTGATTGGACAAAAATAGTTTGTGACAAGTGAGTCATCTGTTTGTCATTCCTCGTAAACTTTAAACAATCAAAGCTACAGGGTAAATGTTGGACACACCCTTTGAAGAGCTAAGCAAGGTGTTATTGTGTACTTTTCAAAAGGTAATGAGGACAACACCTAAACAGGTCTGGCTCCATAGCTCAGTGGTTAGAGCACTGGTCTTGTAAACCAGGGGTCGCGAGTTCGATCCTCGCTGGGGCCTGTGAATCAATTTTGCACAAGTATCAAAAATAATTTCCATACATACATAAATTCCAAGGGAACCATGTATTCAGAACTAACAAGAGGGACACAAGTCACCAGTATGTGTCTGCCTTGTGTGCTCTGAAGAACTTCAGACTATGTGCTGAGCTACAAAAACTTGAAGCAATCTATTATGCCTTCCTGAGTAAATCGGAGACCACCATACGTAAAACCAAGTAACGATTTAATTGATCAAAAATATTTAAATATAAAACATTGATACATCAAACCCCCAAATGTCTTGGCTTTGAAAGTACAAAAAATCTTGCACAAATAATAATTTTATAGTCTGTAGAAGAAACCTGAAGGCTGCCATGGTATAAAAACACAATCACCATCACAATAACAGAAAGCAGATAGAAAAAGAAGAGGAACTAGATAAGAAATCTTTTGTCAACCAGAGTTTTGTTGGCTAGGTTCCTGCGGCCCATTCCATTTCGGATTAATCTGAAGACCTAACGGAGAGCATATTAAAGCTTCATTTTAATCATCACCTCAAAACAATCAAATTAAACCAACCAGCCTAATATATCCACATATACTAACCAGTTGCTGGACGTATGTTAACACAGCTGCGAGAATGAAGTTCTGACTGCCCAGATCCACCACACAGAAGAAGAGAGTATCAAAAATCAACAGCACAGCCTCATTACCATAAAAGAGGACATCAGCGAATGAGTGAGAGTCATCTGAAGGAAGATAAACACAAAGATATTCACTCAGAACACTAATGACTGTGAAGGGACTGGATTCTGGAAATCAATGAGTGATTACAATCAAGGTATTAATCAATATTTTTCCTTTTACATATTCAATTATTAAACTGACAGAATCCCTTGCATCTTCAATTCAAGTATATGTATATCCTTTTTTATGATTACATTATTCTTATAATAAGCACCAATCAAGTTATAATCATTCCTATATTCAATAAGTGTGTTACATATAGTTTTTAGGTATACTCCTGTGTATGCATATCTTTCATGAATGTCTTATGATGTCTTTGACTAATCTGTTGCGGCCTTGAGCTAGACATTAAATACAGGCTCTTTGTATGTATGGATTTAATAAACTAATTAATGTGTTAAGCCTAAAGAAGACCCACATCATATGATCATGTTTTTCTGCTGACCCCATTAAGGGACAGAGGTCAACTTCTGTATGGCTCTATGATTTGTTTCCCAAATTTGTACTTCTTTAATACATATATCTCTCAAGAAATAAAGTAATTGTTATTTCTTCTCTTTCTAAGGATGGAAGGTTTTATCAGTATGTTGTGTGGCATCTGATATGATAATAAAGAACTCAGGCCTGTACAATCTTGCTAGGTCTGCATCCCATTGTGCTTTGTATGTTGAATTTTCTGTGCAGATCTCGTGACATGGGCAGCAGGTCTCATGACACTCTTTAATGGCACCCCCGAGGTCATTACTGGATCTTTCGTGACTTGGATGGCAGCTATCATGATTGATGTCAACATACCCTTCTATCTATGCATAATTGTTTAGATTTTATGTGGGGTTCTCAAACTCGGTCCTGGAGGGCCACTGTCCTGCAGAGTTTAGCTCCAACCCTGATCAAACACACCTACCTGTGTGCTTCTAGTGACCCTGAAGACCTTAATTAGCTTGCTCAGGTTTGTTTGATCAGGGTTGGAGCTAAATTCTGCAGGACAGTGGCCCTCCAGGACCGAGTTTGAGAACCCCTAGCCAATCAGAAGTGAATGTTTATGTAATGTATGCCCTTGAAAACAGTATAACTGGTGTACCATTTGTGTGTAAAGTAGAGTTAGCTTGAGACCTCCTCGTGAGACTTTGACGCTGGCTCTACCAATTGAACTGCAAACTATTCTTCAGTAAATTTTTCTCTTTGATTGAACTTCATGACTCCTGGTCTCATTTCATCATCTCTGATCCTGGGCCTTACATAAGCTTTATGTACTAGATTTATGTACTTATAGAATTATGTCTGTTTCATGGAACGTGCTCTCTCCATGTTTTTGACAGAGACATGTGTTAAAACATACTATCTACTATTCTAGCTGACCAAGACAGCCAAGGTCACTGGAGTTAATTCACCTTTCATATACATGCCCACTTCTTAATTAAAGCATTAAATTAAACTTTTCGATACTCAAATACTAGAGAATAGTAATGGAATATTGTCTGAATGAACCTCTCACTGAGAGAAAGAACATGTTATCTGAATGTTCTGGGAAAGTTCCTTGTTTAGATAAGAGCTCAACTAACTCTGACCTTGAAGAAGCTGTGTATCTGTGTATGTGCGCTAGTATTCTTTGTTACAGACTTTTTTTTTACGCTATGCTGGGGCTAGACAAACATTCTCATGACCTCGAAGGGCCACCCATACCTAACTCAGGGTCCGGGTGTTAGCCGTACAGACTATGGAGATGTGCGACTGCCTATCAGTCCATGTGTTATTAGCCAATCAGAATCATGATGTAGGTGTAAGGTAGAATTGTGGTGGAAAATTGAATGTACGGGGAGTGGTATTTTACCATTATAAAAGATGCTTTTATCCAGTGGCTCTATAAACTCCATACCGATTAATCTCTCAAACAGCAGCTTATCTTTCACAATGTAATCCATCTCACGGTGTGCCTGAGAATACAGCATTCAGAATGAGCAAATCAAAACACCAACAAACCACAATACACTACAGGAAAATCACAAGTATCAATGAAATACAATCCTCACATGATCGATGACGGAGCCCAGGAATCGGTTCATTGTATGGTACGCTTTTGTGCTCTGCTCACATGAATTGGCTGAAGCATCCACCAACCTTGAGGGACCATTTCTCTGTAGTGGTAAAGACATTGTTAGCCACCCTTACTGAGAGAGATTTGTGTGCGAGTATACTTAGTAGCTCAAAATGTACAGCTTAGCGCTAACAACGGCAAAGTCTTGGGTTTGATTCCCAGGGAATACAGGAACTGATATCATGTATACTTTCAATGTAAAGCCCTATTCGGACAGGAGGACTAGTGTTCCAGGGAGACGTTATAGACATTAATTTCTCACAGACGTACTTTGTGATTTTAATGAGAATGTGAATGTCTGTGATTGCTGATATTATATTATCCTACCACTTCTCCTCATGTGTTTTTTGACCTAGTACCCAAGCTACCGTTAGTCTTCGGCATGCTTTCATTAAGTTCCAATATGGATGCTATCAGAGTAACATACCTTTCTAGATCTCTCTGCTCACATATGTAGGTTTATTATAAACAGCCACTGCAATAAACTTGTGAAGTTTACTTAAATAGGGTTTTTTTAAATAATAAATTAGAATTATATTAACAAATAATACAATTAAAAGACATATACTTCATACGTGATGCACATACGTACAGCACATGACCTTCTGTAATGCCCACGTCTAGAAAACGCACACTCTCTGAACATGGAGATGTTAGTCCCATCCGAATCAGTACATGAAATAGTGATAAGAGTGATAAGAATTGTAACTCAGTCGTTTAGAAAACTAGTCCTGTCTGAATAGGGCTTTGGATAAAAGCATCTGCCAATTGCATAAATGTAATGTCTTCAAAAGTAAAAATGATTCATAACTACTAAAATGTAAGTAAATAAAAGTATATAAGTAATCAAAGTAAATATACAAGTGTATGCAGTTGTGTTTATACCCTGTTGATTGGCTCAATTATTCGGTCATATTGAGTTCGCAGGCGGTTGGTTATTGAAATCTGAAATGTCTGAGTGTCAGAGTTCGGCAAAAGTCCCCTTTGGCCACACAGATTCTCCTAAAACACATACAAATAAAATAAGTCTCCCAAAATACTTCTATTTAAAATATAAGACTCAAAATCCATCTTACCCCCTCTCTCTTCAGGTTTGTATTCATTTCATCCATGTTGGTGTCAGCATGACCATGAACAGAGCGTCCATGGATGTAGTAGCCAAAACATCGATGAGACAGCAGCAGCATTGAGATCTAACAGACACATATACATACATTCAAAGAAAGAAAAAAGCTACATTAAACCAAAAAATTTTACTTTACAACTGCAAAGAAGATAGTTTTGCCTAATACTCACATTGCTGATTGAGCACAAATCTACAAACTGGCGAATCTTGTCTTCAACAAAGCGCTCATGGAATACTGTGAAGAATATCATCTAAAGTAATATGATACAAAAAGTAAATGTGTGAAATAGTCCAGAAGAGACACACAAAGAGGCAGACTGCTTGTCCTTGAGTATATATGTTTTTTCTACCTGCATTAAGCCAATGCAGAGCCACATAGCAGAAGCCACACCGTAGCGGAGTATTAGACTGTATGTAGGCTTGTATGACTCAGGAGCTCGACGCAGGTTGGACGAGGGGTCTCTTAGAGCCAAATTTGAAAAGCCCACCACCTGCAAGCACAATATTCATTATTTGTTAACACAATCCTTAACAAAGTGGCATAATCTGAGTGGCCAGTTTGAGAATAAGATTTTTAGACAAAATTTAGATCAGAGATGTTGCATGCTGTTGGACTCACCTCCAGAAAAAAGAGCACAGCGATGACTTGAAAAGTGGGGTTGATCTTGCGAACAGTCTGAATCTCATTCCACTCATTGGCCACAAAATATGTTCTCCAGATACTGACAGGAGATGCTTGACTTTTTGCTTCGCCAGACCCTGAGCACATTCATATAGAACAGTTATTTAAAAAAATTGACTAAAAGTGTAGAGTTTGTACAGGTATATCGAACGTGGTGTATTTGAAAAACACATTAGAAGAACAATGTAATTACCCTCCGCATGTTTCCTAGATTTACCACAAGGTCTTTCCCAGTCTATAAAGAAAATATCCACAGATATCTGAACAAAGAGCTTATGAAGAAATTGTACGGTCTGTAACAAAAATAAGTGTTGGATTAAGCAGGGAAGAAAGGGAAAGTAGAGAAAAGACAGTGCTACTTAAATTATGCAAACTGTAGTGTATAAGTTGATGTACATAATTGTCCTTACCTTCAATGCAAAGGCACAACCAACATAAACAACAAAACGCTCCTCCTGAGCTGGTAACGGCAGCAACACGGACACAAATAGCTGTGCCTGGAGATATACAAAAAAGCCCTGTTTGAATATGTCTTGAATTCTATCTTGAGGCCTGTTCATACCAAGACAAAGTTTGTTGCAAAAATTCAGTGCGATAAACATTTTCATTTGAATGTACGGCTGTTCATACCAAAGCAAATATTCGCAAGCCATCAAAGCAACAGATTATTTTAAGGGTTTCTTACACTAGACTTTTCACTTCATTGACTTCTATTCATACGTAAAGCATGTGAATGCTGGAGATTCAAGAAATTTAAGCTCATGTGAATTTTGTTACGGTCCAAAATTCAAGTTTGGTGAAACCATTAGAAAACTGATACATCATGACATGACCTCTAAGTTGAATTAAAAGAATACAAAAATTAAATCTGCAGCATTACAGTGTTGCAGTAAATTGGAATGGATTGTGTATTTTTACATTTTGGATGTATTTTGAATTAATGAATTGAATTAATTTTTTGAAAAAAGACACTGTACAGTGTGATGTCAAATTACGACTGCTGCAGTGTCAGTAATGCATGTTCAAAGCCAAGTGTGAACATGGCTTTTCGAAGGCTCCCTCAAATGCACCCTTGAATATTAAATATATATGTATGACTTCTTCAAGCTCCTCATGAATAAGTCCTCATGAAATCAAAATATAAGTTTTTTTGGCTTTTAGTATGAATATGTTAGCCTTGAGGTTACCTATGAGCTGGTGTGCTCCAAAACAATGACAAAATTCGCATTTTGAAGATACAGTCTATTGCTGATATGGATCAGTGATTTTGATGACATCACTCTGCACTTCTGTTTCTCATTGCTTTCTAGAATCTGAAGCGCCCCTACACAAGTCATACACGAGTCGGTGCAGACCACAAACGTTTTCAACTTACTGGCCAAGCAATAAAATTAATGCCTTTGGTCACATGCCCAGAGACACTGCAGTTAAACTACCGATTGGTGGTGCTCACGGACAGAGTAATTTGCGAAGCGATAATAATGAATACACTATAGTAAATACATATTTCTGAATGGCTGTTTAAAAATATGTAAATTCTGTTTGACTTCCTTTTAGATGACAAGCGGTTGTCAGGAACACAAAATTGCACAACTGCCTTGATGTGAACAGGCCTTTAGACCAAAAGAGCTCCATCAAAAAAAATAATGGGTATGTAAACAGAACATACTAGAAAAAAAAACTCATTTGATAGGACAGTGGAAGAAAATCACAGAACAAAACAAAGACACTAATCTGAAATTTGAGAAGTGGAGAGACTACGTTAACAACAGAAAAAGTGACAGACTTGCCTCCAATGTCTGGAAAATATTGAGAGAAACAGAAAAAGAAATAAAAAAGAAGAAAGTTTCATGTAAGGCTTAATCATATTCATAATAGACTAGACAGCACCACCCACAGACATGAAAAATGCAAACCTTAAAGAATATGAGCCAGTAGAGGCCTGTTCCAACAGTGATGATGAAGAAAACATTTGCTAGATCACCAGCATAGAACACCAGAAACTTCATAATTGTCTGAAATAGAAAGGGACATTATTAGGAATACGTTTAGCATTGTATGTATTATCGCGTCTGAATGGGAGTCCATACCTGTAGGTCAATAAGAGGAGATGCAATTCTTCTTTTCCAGCTTGCGGTCTTCAATAAAGAGTGGACAACAGCCACCCCTCCCAGCACACCAAGAGCAATCTGGATATGAATCCACATTTAATAAACAAACAGCATTACAACATACACTAGAACATCCTGACCAACATAAAACAGAAGACTTTTCGAAGAAGAATTTCAGTGCCTCTTCATACTCACATCAGTTTTGATCCGAGCTTCCTCCTGGTCCATTGTATATTCAAGAGAGAATGACACCTGTAAATACAAAAAAAAAAAAAACTTGTTTTTGTAATTAAATTTTTGATTAAGTTTTTACTGCATTTTGTATCTTGTCTGTCAACAGAATAAAATGATCAGTGATTTCTCGCATGATTTCAGACCTGCGTTTAGAAAGCACAATGGCAATAATAACAACGTCAAATTTAGTCAATGTATTTACTGTAAAATATACTATAAAAATACATAATTATTCAACAATATTATAGATCTTACTGTACTAATCCTGTTGAGTGAAAACAGGAACTGCTTTTTTTGCAGCTGCTTTGAAACACTCTGTATTGTATAAAGCTCTATTTAAATAAAGGCGACTTGACTTGACTATTACTATTTAGTATATTATCTTACGTTTTATTTCTACAAACGCCCTAACAGAAAAGTTCAATGGTCCCTAGTTTGAAAACCCCTGGACAATGGGATTACATATAAAGGTTAAATAGACTTACAGAAACAGTCTGTGTGCTGGGGTCAGTGACGAGTATATCTGAGTAGGCCACGGTCATCAGAGGGGGGTAGACCAGTCCCTTCTGTGTATTCGGCACCAGTTGAAATCTGTTCAGTGCAGGACATCAAGCTTAGTGAGATCTTATAGTCGTTCTAAGCCAGGCTAAAGAAACATTTTAAAAGTGTGGTTAGCACCACTTTTTAACCAGGTCTGTGAAACCCTGCTCCTAACCCCGAATTACGGGTCATACATGTACAGAAGCTGTGCTTTTGACTAGATGCTGAGCAACCAACAACCAATCACATGCCTTATATTCATGTGCTTTGGACAGTCACGGAAACACTGTGCATTGTATATTATAAACGGTAGTTTCAGTGTTTGATAGGATGAAAAACAGTGATGGAAAACATGTCAGCAAAAGTAAGAAGATACCTTTTACTTTTAATTTCTTAAAAATTATTGTACAGTCGGCAATGTGCAATTTGCGGATGCACAATGCTAGAGCCTTTACGTAAAAATATTGTTGCTGCGTTTGTTCAATCAGCGACACCACAAATATGCGAAAAAATTACTTTAACCCAGGGTTTAGGATTGTACTTTGTGAAACATTTATGTGTTTGGGAGTTTGTAGTATTTACCCGATCTTAATATTAGAGGCCACACGTATGGCTCTGGGTGAAGAACTCAAAGAGTTTTCCCTTCCACTCAACGTGTCCACAAGCATCAGCCTCCGGGTCAGGTACCAGTTATTCATGTTAGATCCTGAAACACAGGAGAAGTGAGCATGGTGAT